ATTATTTTTTGATAACGTGACGCATACTCCTCTAATATAGAGCATGTTTTCTTATTTAATTTAACGAACAGTCAGTGCGAACTTTCAATAATGACTAAATAGTGTTGTTTTGTAAATCGGTGGCAGAACACTATAATTTTCACATTTTACAATTAAAGACATTTATTCATTATATTTATATAAAGTCAAACTTTTCGAAGCAGTTTCGTAATAACAGTTATTAGGGCGCCAGTGTTCTATAATAATCTACGATTCATTATTAATAACTATAACAACAATCAATGTAAATAATATAAACAATAACTGATTTAATAAACCCAAGTTATGAATTAATAAAATATACCGGCACATTTATTATTGAATTCTTTATTTTTAAACTGAAACCCTCCAATAGTTGCGAGCTCAAAAGCTGTCGCAGGCAACGTATTCCAGCTTGGTGTAAATTCTGCTTGTATTTTTTTTGATCTTGCAATAAATGTTGAAGCTCTTCACTGATACCCTTTTACCCCTTCCCAACTCTCAGTTGCGTTTTGGTTTCATTTCTTGGGCCTTTCTTGCGCTGTGTGTTTTCCTCCCTCGAGTGCCGTCGTGAAACTCCTACGACGCCTGCCGTCGCCGCATCGCTCAGAGCTAATTATCGGCGCCGCTCCGAGCATCGCCTCCTTCCTTTGAGCCCCCTCGATCCCTCCGACTCAGTTGCGAATCACGGGAGGCATCCTCATTCATTCATTCATTCATTTGAGGAGTTGCACGTTCTTCGTTAAGGCCTTTTAATTGCATCTAGTTATGATATTTGTAAATCTTCGTGTATCTAATTTGATTTTAATGATAATACTGTGAATTTTATTAAAAGGTAGAGCATGCCCACAATGCTTGTTTTATTACATTCAGGACAATATATCCAAAAGTAGGTTAAATGTCATGGATAGATCATCAATTCTTAACCCAAAAAAATCATATTTAGGACATCCAGTAGTGATTCCGGAGGTCATTATTCCCTTAAGTGCGATGCATGTTTTTTTATCGCGGGAGGTGGAGAAGATCTCCCTCCTGTAGATGGCGAGATCAGGCGCCGACCTACGTCGGCTGGCTGGGATTTTCCCAATCTCCCACCAGCGGATCACCGCCCTAGCAGGGACAAGCTCTAAGCTAACGACTGGTCTCCCGACAACTGTGAAAGAGTAGTGTAAATTAGTATAGTTAAGGGCTGAGGAAAAGACATGGAAAAGGGAGGGCAGATCGCGCGCGGTCCGTGGGCCGTTTGTTAGGGTACCGCTCCGGCATTCGCTTGCTGGGGACCGGAGAAACCACGGAAAGCTGCCTATCAGAGCAGCTGCCCTCTAGAATTCTCCTCCAGACAGCGGCTGAATTCTACCTGGCTGCGAAGGTAGAGTCGACAATTTTCTCACCGTCCGAACACGAACATAGGACCTACCGGCGAGAGGCACTGCACTAACATCAGTTGACGCTCTGAGCCACCTTCACCGGAATGGACATTGTGATTCTAACAATACATACTGAATAGATGCTTCAAGATGCGTTCACATACTGCCCACATCGTTGAATGATTATCAAACTGGTAAACTGATCATAAGTACAGGATCTACGCGGATTTGCTATTACGTATATGTACTTGTGTGCATGACATAAATTGAATGACAATGAAAGGGACAGTTTCTCTTTAACACGAGTATAAGCGCATTATTGAAGTCGAAAATCGATACTTTCACTGAAAAAGTCTTCCATTGTTTTTAATATTCGGAGCATTGTGTAATGAAAACAGATTAGCACGAGTGGGTAGATAAGCAGGCAGTCATTTTTGTTGTTTTGTTATTTACCAACACGCCTACTACAAAATGGGATATACAAAGAATGGACAAGTTTCATCAATTTTAATGAGTGTAGAAAAATTTGATAATTCATTTACGAAGATGTTATAGCAAGCCCTTATACCAGGGAATTAATATCTTTGTCGATGAAAGAACGCAATTTACTGAGTCACACGTTTATGTTTTTAGATTCTGTGCTTGTGGCAATTTCGCTTCAAAACATCACAGCCACTTTTCGTACATGTCCTCAATGAAACGCTTTCAAAGAATCTGTTACAAGTACTACTCCAAAAATACCAACCATACGTAAAAGAAACTCTGTATATTTCTCCTTCACAGCTTCACTCCTTCAAAACTTTCACAAATATACCGCTACAAACCATTGACGCCGTCTGTCGACCAAGACTTCGAAAAAGCAAAGCACGGCTTGCATTTGGCGCGAACGGCATTGGGCGAGAACGTATACACACCCAAGAATGGCAAGTTCTACACAAATTTCGTTGCGAATTTCTCCTCGGTGAACCTCCACAGCAATGGCCCGCCTGTCAAACAAAATAAACTATCGGTCTCACCAAGACGCCGATCGCAAGTGCAAGTACATTTGACTCAAACAAATGAGATCTTGAATGGAGCGGAGGCGGGAGCGGCGATAAAGACGGCGGCAGGGTCGGCCGCGGGAAGGATACTCTCAACGAGTGTGGGAGCGTGGGCAGCAACTTGTGCTGGAATGGGAGCAGCAGCGGAGTCGGGAGCGTGGAGTGGGAGCGTGGTGAGGAGGAGGAATATGCGCGGAACCGTGGGTGGGAGCGAGTGGGTGGACAAATGAGGCGGGAACGTGGTCTCGGGAGCGTGGATGGGACAGTTGGACGTGAGCGCGCAGCGGATGCGAGGAGCGTGGACGGGTGTGTGGGGTTGTAGCGCGGAGCATGAGGGGAAGCGTGGGTGGTACGGCAGGGCGATAGCGTGGGGCGTGAGCGTGAGGGTCGTTAGGCGGGAGCGTAGAAGCGTGAGGCAGCAGCGTGGGAAGGGAGCGTTTTGTGAGAGCGTAAGCGGAGCGTGGGGAGCGGGCAGCGGGAGCGTGTCAAGTTAGAAGCAGAGCATGGTCCAGAGCCATGTCTGGAGAGGGGATGGAGTGGTGCAGGAACTGTGCGAGAGCGGGGACGGGCGCGAGAGTGCGAGCGTGAGCGACGGCAGAGGTGGCCGTGCAGAGGACGTGGATGGGAGCGGGGGCGGGGGCTGGGGCGAGGGCGAGAGCGAGGTCGGGGTGGCCGGGGCGCGTCGAGTGACGAGGACGTTTCCGAAGACGAGCCGCAGAGCGCTCGCGCGCGCGCGCGTCCAAACGACAGCGCTTCCGTCGGCGTCGGCCATTAAGCGAGTCAACAAACGAAGCGCGCGCGGCGCCAAGCACACGCACGCGGCGGCTCGCTAGCGCACGCACGGGCCCCCGCACGCGGGCACGCGCCGCTCCACTCCAACTGCGCACTTGCTCGCGCAACTGGCGCGGGGAGATTCCAAAACAGCGCAGCACGCGAGGTCAGCGCCTCGCAGAAACGAACAGTTGCGATCGTATCTTTTGTTCTGATTAGCACTAAATGTAGAGTGAATGAACAGAAATGCATCTGCTGAATTCACAATATTCACATTAATCTTGGAACAACAAGCGAGGTAGATTTATACCGTTACAACACATTAATGTAATAATTTAAATTTTAGGGGTCTTTCAACTACAAAAATGTTCATGAGACACTTTAGTCTATGAGGTTCATGATCTAATGAGGAAATGGTGATAATCCTGACAAGAAGATAGTTGGAGAAAAAGTGGAACGAAATGTAGAGCAAACGGGAGAAACGGGACACCTACGGAGAACTCGCTTCGCACTCCACAATTTCCGCATTGATTGTCAGAGGACCGAACCCGCGTTCTAACGGCAAAATGCTAATGCTCTAGCCTCCACACACGACCTCTCACCATATTTGTCCATTCAATTGTAGTGATTTAAGGACGTTTCACTATCCGTGTCCAAGGTCACCAAGACTCCGGTTCTCGGTGATTAACATAAAACTTTCTTCAATATTTTTATGACCATATATTTTTTTGAGAACTTTTAGCGTGACGTTTTGACACTTCGCTAGCCGTGCCTGACGAGAATTCGTCCTTCGGCCTAGGCTATTCATCTAAAATTTTCTTCAGTCTGTCAATCATCACTTTATCAACGTAAATAGAGCGCACCAGGAAAGTCTGTCCGCACCGACCCCAGTCAGGGGCTGCCACCGCCGCTGCTTCCCTCTCGCCTTCGCCACCGCGCGGGCGCTGGTGTCGCAGGCTTGCAGTCATTTCGTTCGCCCCACCCCCCGTTGCTTCCAGACCGCCAACGGACGGTGAGTGATGCCTGTTGCTCGTCATTCCAACATATTTCTTCTTGATAACTCTCTCGTAAGCATGGTGTCACTGCGGAGACACTGTCCTGGCGCAATGTTGAATACCGTTGACATTTTTGAGACTTTGATTAACCCGTATCATGTTAGGTGCACATCTGTATTGAATTTAAAAGCCTTCTTTTACGTGTCATTCTTCAGCGTTCTTCCAACCTATCATAAGCACAGGGTTATCAAGTTATTTTACACGAGTGGGGGGAGATGTTGATGCACAGCGTATTCGTTAATACGCTGTACAAGTGCTGGGGTTGTAAGGAAAAGGAAAAGTCCAGTCATTTCATACATAGAGTTAAGTTTGTTTAAATCCTCTCGCTTTGATTCATAGTAGTAGTGAAATATGTTCGTATATTTCACTCATTAAAATTATTATTTTCGGCTAATACATCTCATACACCTCAAAGGTATTTTTTTCACGCGTAACCAATTCTTATTTCACTATTTTCGTACAAAAATTATAATAAATAACCGTCAACTAAACTTACAGTTTTCATCTGAAATTATAATATAGGAAGCTAAAATACGATAATAAGACCTTAACACTTTTAATCACGAACGCACTAAAAATGATTTTCTTTTCTCATAATATTGTTGGCAGTATATCATAGGGCGACCTCCAACAAAGCGCTTGAAATAGCAACAAGCGAAAACAATTTATCCCAAAATAACCCCCTTTACAATTTGCATCGATCGGCAATGAAGGAAGAACCGGTCCAAAACCGAACAACGCGACCTTACCTGGAGGGTCATTTCCGTTGCTTGGGTTCCCAGCGCTGTCATGACATTTGCGAGACGAATTGCGTAGGAATTCACGATACAACGCGCGCGCCTCCAGTTGAACTTGAATTCTCTGGAAAAGCAACAGAAAATAAATTACGGGAAGCAACTACAACAATTATTATCGCAGTGTGATACGCGAATTCAAGTCTTACGTTAGTGAGTTTCAGTTCACTTACCAGTCCAGAAGCTCGCAGCATCCCACTGTGGCATGACACGAACGTAATCAGCGCGTCTAGCGTCATTAAAGAAAACGATGAGAAGACTCGTTCAGTTTCGTTACTGGATGGCGCTGTTAAACACGTAGCAGCGTGTTTGCCAAAGAAAATTATTCTGACTGCGGTGACGTTTTTATGGGTCAAAATACTGAAACAGAAGGAATAGAAAAATCAGAAATAGAAATCTGGATTTGTAATGTTTATTTACAACTGCCAACAAATATACAAAATATTCAGAGAACAGAACTGCAAATCAACTTAAATTTATATACAATAGCAGACTTCGTTAATTGAATATAATTAAAAAGATAGTACTTGTAAGAAAGAGTTTTACAAGGTGGAGGACAAAACCATTTTATCAAAATAACTTTACAAAAATTTAAAAATAATAATCATTCTGAGTGGAAATGTTGGATTGACTGGTTTCTGGGTTAAGTCTTCTAGTTTCGGAAGGAAAAAAAAATCATACAGTGCCCGAGAAAATTTACGTCGAAGTAAATAGTGTATTGGAACTAAGGAAAAATAATGTATATATGAATGAGTTCCAGATTATGAGTTTCTTTAATTTTGAATTAATATTGGTAACACCATCTAGTGGCAGCTTACCCTTCCATGACTACAACAACCAACAACCTCGTGCATAAAGCGACGTTACTCCGTAGATATGTACAGTACTTAGCAAGAGGTATGTATAAAACTGTGCAATTATTGTGTAAACAAAATTGAAACAATGGTGTCATATTACGCGAATATTGTAATTAATTTATGTATATATTACTAAAGCAGTTGTCGAAAATTCAGATTGTAACGAAAATGAAACCTGCGCCAATTATATGAGTTCTCTACGCTATTCGCCACGAAAGTTAAATAAAAAATTGGAGCTATATTTGAGAACATTTTGAAAACAATTGGTAATGCTTTACATTTAAAAACTCTCAAAAATCAAAATATGTTTCAAACTTGATAAGAAAGTAAAAAGGTATGCAACGCATTTGCGTTCAAAGTTCGCTAATACAAACTCAAGGTCTGGACAAACAGTGACCTTTGTCAGCAGCAGCATACTATCAAATATTCGAGTTAATGAAAATTGGTATTATAACTATTCAGTGAAACAGAACCAGATAACATTTTTGCAAATACTCGTACTACCCAAAATTCAAAATGTAATGCTGCTTGACATACAATTTTGTCAAAGAATTCCATTTTCAGAAACAATAAAGTTCCTAACATTGGTAATTGTTTGTAAATAAAGTCAATTTAGTACTGATCGATATTAGGTTTACGATCTTTTGTCAAAAATAGTTAGTCATTTTGACATTGTTTGATCCTAATGATAAATTTGGCAACACTAAACATTTCATCACAGATAATAAGATTCGGAGAAAAACAATTTTTACGTGGTTCTTTGGGTTTTTTATTGATTATACAGAATGGCAAATTGATATTAATGACAAACTGGAGATAAAAAATATTCTAGGTGTATATACGGGGCTCGCGAATGGGAGAAAATTTCATTTGGCAGAGATGTGATGTACTCCCTAGTTCAAGATCAAACATTATAAAGCGTGAATTTCAATAATAATATTTCTGTCGTTCACAAATTAGACGGAATCAGTAATCATATTTTCTCTCACAATTTTATTAGTAAACGAATACGAAAAAAAATATTTTATTCAAAACCGTCCTCAAAGTTTCTCGTACTTACACAGTATTCGGTCACGAAAGTTCAACTATTTTCAATACCAGCCTGAAAACGTACCGAAAGTTCTCAAACAAGTACAGAAAGTACTCTTGTCTGTACTCTTGGGAACAGAAACATATTTCATGGTAATTGCAACACCATGTTCAATTGTTCTATCTCTGGCCAGCCCTTAACCGCCGAAATAACTTAAGTACACCTTTGTAGGTCATAAAATGTATTACATGGATAACAAAAAAAAGAATGGATCTTGAATTACAATTCTTTATTAAAAATTACCTTTATTAACAAACGTATTGATAGTATAATTATTTAGACACATGTACATGCAGAGCATATTCCCAAGATAACATCAACCTGAAGCAAGAAATGTGAACGTAATCCAATCAAATTCAAAAGATATAAGTCATTTTTACAACCTTGGATTATTAGAAAAACATTTTCAGGCGTACACGTAAATACCTTCTCTCTTGAAAATGAGGCAAATAACCCAACACGCGAACGGAAAATTCGTAGTATGTTTTCGTGATCGTCGATTTAATTTTTATATATCACGCAGACAAACTGTTGTAAAATTGAGGTCTGAAATAAAATATTCTCTATCACCCGGCGAAGCTAACTGTGACACGACAAGATTCTTATCCTCGGCCTGTAGGCCTCATTCGGGAATTCTCCCGTCTAGTCATGCAGACATCTTTCTTGCCGCGTAATATACATTAATATTAAAAACTTAGAATATTTTCTGTTTAATTTGAAATATATACACATTTTATGACTTAACACGTTAGTTGGAACTAGAACTGCTTTGTTACTCCACTCTAGAGATCACGTTACAGTATAAACCAATATTATTGATGGTACATTGATTTATGTATCAAATAGTTTTCGTGAATTCTCCCATTCTTATTTTTTTCTTCCAGTCGGAACGAAATCCAACCTAACGGCACACCTCTAGCTCACTCACCTAAGAGAATCATTGCTAAGGAACGTGGATTTGGCATTGTATCGGAACTACTAAAATACCAAGCGGCATATTTTAATGCAGACTTCACAACAATGAAATATTTGTCTTTTAATACGTTTATTTTTAGTAATTTCCGGGTGAAGAGAGCTGATATCATGAAAGCTTAATTTTTTGTATCTTTATCACGAGTCTGCTTACATAGCACAAATATAGCATGTTCTCTTGATTTCACATGCTTTGAAAAGGTAGAAATAACGGAATGGAACTCTTGGTTTTGATTCTAAACTCAATTCTTCACTCGTAAAACTGTGAGAATTTACTTCCTGGCATTTGTCAGCCTTTATAACGTAGTCATTTAGAAATTTTGATCTTTATTTTCCTTTCATCTTATCTAAGAGAAATTGAAGTTGGTAATTATGAAAACAATGTGAATAATAGCAATAGGTACTAGTTGGACCCATGCAATTAAGGCGCATTTTAAATAACTGCCAGAAAAGAACAAAGAAGCATATTTTTCTTAAAATCGGATTCGTATTTCGCTGGAAAGCAATTGCACCTAAATTATTCAAGTAATGATAAGGTACTACAAGACATTTTATCAGTACAATTAAGAGACGCATTTATTTAATTTCGGTTACGAATAATTCTTTGTTTTGTCAATCGTCAAGAATTGTGTGGAAGAAGGTACTGCGAAATTTCATAGCACCAAACTTCAACAACTTTAAAAGTGTACATTATTTATTTGCCATCATAAATAAGAGACTTCTGTATAATTGATTGCATTTTATTAATTCTTTGTACTTACAACCCACACGAAGTATCGTATGGAGGATTGTATTCGAATTCGGATTCCACCAAACTACCTCCAATAACGATAAACAGCAATATACAGTTTTGATGATATAAAGAAGGGATACGTGTACTATATATTGAATTTTATAAATTCTTGTCAGTATCCCATGGAAGAGAGTATCGTGGAAGACGATTTCTCCACACTTCTTCAAATAACTAATCGTCAACATAATCCAACATCGCCATAACTAATCGTTAACAGTCGTCAACAAGTTCCTCGTATTTATGATTAAGTACATTCATTTTATTATTATTTATCAAATTTTTAATGCGTTTCCGAGCAATTAGCCCCATTATCAGGAGAAGTACAAACACAATGGTGTGGTTCTTTGTCATCGGTAGAAGCAACACCCGACAGCAAGACCCCACAGCAAAACCCCACAGCAAAACCCCACAGCAAAACCCCACAGCAAAACCCCACAGCAAAACCCTACAGCAAAACCCTACAGCAAAACCCTACAGCAAAACCCTACAGCAAAACTGACTTACTTTATAAATAAAAATTGAATATAATTTGATTGTATGTGATACGAGAAACTTATAATTTTTTCTACACATGTATTGGCATTGCCTTATGAATCGGTACCAATAATCGCCTGTAATGGGGCATCGCAATTCCCTCGAATCGCGCGCAGCCCCTTGGCCGCCTACCGGCGCAGCTGACGCGCGTCAACCGTCGCCGTCCCCCCGCCCCCACCCCACCCCACCCCGCCCCGTCCGACGGCGCGGCGGCGCCGTCCGTTCGTGGCGACTGCTTTTTGTTCGCGTCGCGCGCCGCGCAGAGAATAAGGCCCCGGCTAATGTAGGATGTGTGTCGGCTAATGGACCCGATCCCTGCCCTCCCGCGGGCGGGCACCGGCGCCGGGCGGTTAACGAAATCACGCAGGGGCATCGAAAACGAGAGCCGACCGCGAGTGGCGCTCGCTGCGGACGCCCCGTCGGCGAATGCCGGCTCCCAGAGGTGGAAACGAAGAAGGCTCTCTCAGATGCCCAGCAAATTAATCAATTAAGCACAAGGCACAGATTGCTCTTCATAACAATAATAATAATCATAACATTAAGGTGCATAATAATAATAATAATATAAATAATCCGTACGTCATCGTACATATTTCCCGAAAATAATGAAATGAGGAAAATATAAACATTCTCGAGCAGTACAATCAGTTTTCACTGTGAACACTGATTTAAGCACGTTTCTGAAAATGTAATTGAGGTGATTGATATACACAAATATCTTATGTTGCAATAGTCGCTAGAGATTCTGCGATTCATCTTAACTGAAAAACGTAAAGCATCACGCAGAATGATTTTCTCTAAAGGGACTTAGCTCTCAATATTCGCTTCGCTAACTATAATGGTGCAATATTGGTTTGCCAATTGGACTGTTGTTCCCAAGTTTTCGTATTCAAACGTGATCGAAGCCGTGGATTTTTAAGAGTGAAAAAATCCTTCGTTCGCCTTCCTTTGCAGGGAAAGAAAGCCGGCTGTCCCATGTTTTAGATTTACTGCGTGTAACAGATCCTCAAGCCTCAGAGAGAAGTCTCTGAGCTAAATTTCAATCGCCTGATTCGTCGCCCGAATGATACCTTCTGTCGGCGCTAAATGATGAAAGGAGCGCAGCTAAATTTGCGTGATCAGACGGAAGAGCGTCTCACTTCGTAAAGTAGCGTGAACTAACTACAATCGCACGAAACGTCGACTGCTTTTTAATAGTGCAACTGAAGAATCTCAACCAAACGGACAACAAATAACTACATTCCATCTACGTAATGAAGTTGGTCTTGAATACAATGAATACAATGTAAATGAGGGTAGAATAGCGTTCATTCTCTTACTTTTAAGGTATTATTAAAATTTAATGTTTTTACGATAAAACCTGTTGATAAGAACAACTCAAAACTTATCTACGGCCATTACACTTTATTTAAGGCAAAATCTGATTGAGTGGAAAGCTCACATTTCTTTCTAAACAAAATCCCTAGTGTTTTATTGTGAAGATAATATTAATAACAGTACTAATAATAGTAATAATAATAATATATAATGTTTTTTATAATAATAATAGTAATATTAATAATTAGTAACACTATTGATGTGAAGGCAGAAAATACCATCGACAAGCAGAGAAAATATAGTGGAACACGATGATTCCTGGGCTATAAAATAATGTTGTGCATCTCAGCATTAGGGATTGTACAAAGTTCTTGCTAGACAATATCAATAATCTGCGAGTTAACGGAGGGCTGAACATGAAAATGTAGAAAGTGGCATTTACTATTCATTACATATGTACTGAGTATTGTAATAGTTCGTAAAAAATGTTAGTTTAATAATAATGTTAATAATAGAGATAATAATATTATAATAAGAATATGGTTCATAAATAACTGCAATGACACGATGGGGTTTGCAATTACCTTTACTGGCAGATATGTTACGTCGCAAAATTTCCAATTCCATCCGAGAGGTACGAAAACTCTCCAAAAACTGTGATGACTTTTGGACTCTGTATAATTCGGTATCTCAAGTACAAAGAATGAAACATTTTCTTTTTCTGTGGTTCGAATTCTGCTCACACGGAATAAAAAGTTCAGCAAGACTCCAAAAACATTGGATAGCTGAAACTGTAAAAAGACTGAATGCTTAAATAGTTTGAAACGTAAGTAAAGATTAAGAACAAGAATACGACGTGGTACGCAACAGCCACGAATCCTAAATCGTATTCTTTTCTGAAACCAAATGTAACAATCCAGTACATAAACACCATTTTTCTATTTGAGATACGATGCGAGAAGAAGAAGAAAACCAAAGGAAGAAGAAGAAAAACAAAAGGAAGAAGAATAAAAACAAATAGAACAAGAATTAAAACAAAAAGAAGAAGAAGAAAAACAAAAAGAAGAATAAAATGAAAAAGGAAAGAAGAAGAAACTTCAGTGCACCTGCAGATTTGTGAAGCAAAGAAAAGAAAACCAGAGTTGACCCATTTCTCTCCCGTTCGCGATTCACCACCGCCTTTTGCATCTTCTGGAGTCGCTCCCTCCACTCGAATCGCTTTCTGGAAGTGGGAGAATAATGTGACACCGCGACGGCGGCGGCGGCGGCGCCGGCGGCGGTTGAGAAGGTTGGCGCCTTGTGGAAATCGAGACGTCTCCCCCGCCACCGCAACCGCGCCCCCGCCGCCATCTCTCACTCCCAGCCACCAGAGCCACTCGCGACTACACGTTCCTCACAGTCAGTTCTAGACCTTTTAGCGGCTGACAGAGTTACAAATAATATTCATAATCATTTAGTTACATCGAAAATAATTAAAGTATCCAAATAAGTTAGAAAAAATATACTGGCTGAGGTCTCTCAGGGCATCCACTGATGTTACTGCCGTGCACCCGACCTTAGGATCAAGTCCCGACGGAGGCAGAATTTTAGAAACTGGCTAGATGGCTGGGCCGATTTCTGTCACCGTCAAGAGGGCAATACTAGTGGCCGGTTTCTATGATTGGTAGTTTTCCGTATTTTTTTCGATCAACACCAGGCGAATGCTTCATCATTACCCCAAAAAACAGGCCATGGCCCACGCGCGATTCGGTATCGTATCGTCAGACGTTACTTCCTTACACTTTCATACACAACACTTACACACATGGCGGGACCCCGGTCGGGAGCTTGTCCCGACTAGGGTGGTGGGCCGTTGCTGGAGAAAGCCCCACTACCTGGTTGGAGAAAACCTTACTAGTCGATCGCGAGCTCACCATCCTACGGAAGATCACTGACAACTCGGGAGGAAAATGCATGTACTGCACTTACGGGACTAATGACCTTAGTAGTTTACGTGCCAGGAATCACTCATCGTCAGTCAATAAATTAATGAGTTCGCTGTTTGGTGTGCACAAATTTCTTCCTTCACGTTTTTCAATTGCTCTCAGCTATCCGAGAACCGGCGCATCGTAACTAGTTGGCATACCTATCTTTGAAATATATTAAAAATAAATAAGTTTTTTGAGTGAACTCGATTTTTTAAAAATCAGAAGAAATCTAGATCAGAAGAGATCTAGAAAACCAGAGAAAGTCGTCCATCACTAAATCCTCTGTCCAAAACCAGGGAATGTCTGCTCCCGGAGGAAGCAAACATAATTGATGTAGGTCGAAATGTCCCGATGAAGTTTCTTCCTAACAAAATTGTATCTTAAATACAATGAAAATAAATTGTGTGCTTCTAAGTATACAACTGAAAACAACCAGCTCTTTTCTATGGAACAGTTAGCAACTCACTGCAAACACCTGGGAAAAAAATCGTTCAGCATCAAACCCGACAGGCAAAGTCAGGAAACATCTACTCCAACGAAGCCCAAGAAATCGGTGATTGACGGAGTCGTGTTGCTGCCCTTACACAACAGTATATGAACCAACGAAAATAATTTTGTTTCCGGGCACACAATTGTAGCGTTCAGGTTTTCTTTTTTTAGAAACTCAGTAAAAATATTTCCGAAAACTTCAACATTAAATCGACACCCGTTACCAGCGTCCGTCTACTCCACATTTCCCAAAGTAATAAGAAGATCGTCAGAGACGTTTAATGCAGTTTATTTCCTCACAATTGAGGCATCTTTCCTCTCAATTGAGACACCGAATTATGAAAGTATTCGATTATGAACACATTGAATATATCTATAAATCAATATTTGAATTTTGTGGGTTAGCTCCCTCCAACACTAGGTGTCTCAATTGCATCTGAATGATAATGGTACGTTGCATGGACACAAATGTGAAGTTCTATATCTCCATAAAGTGCGCTTCATCCCCCTCCCCCCATTAGAAACCCATTGGCAGAAACATCGTTGGAGGCGAAGCGGCGCCCCGGCAGCAGCGCGGGATCGATGGGGCCGCAGGCGGGGCCTCTCCTGCGCGAGGTCTAAGTCGGGCGGCGGCGTCCTCGAGGCGCTCAGACGCGCGCGCGCCGATATCACGTGGCCAAGCCCTCGCGCAAACACTCCGCCGACTCGCGCCCCGCCCCGCCGCCTCTGATGCAAAAGGCACGGCCATTTCCAACCCTATTCGACCACCGTTACCTCTCCCACTGCCACTGCCACTTCCCCCCCACCAACACTACCACACGAATCAGCATCCGAACCTCACTTCCACCCCACGCCCATCGCATCGCCGGTACCGTCACAGGCGCCGCCACAGCCCACTAGCACTGCGACCATTCATTACCACCCCATTGTCATAATAACCCCCTCCCTTCCCTCACCGCCACTACTGCCACCATCCTAACTGCCCCCACCACTCCACCCTCCCCGCTTCTACCACTCCCATTGCCCATACCATCCCCAACGCTACCGCACCGTCACCACCGCCGCTGAGCCGTCTGGAGCGGCTTCAGAATGAAAAGCGACGTTGAGGTGCAGTTGGTTACCGAGCAAGCGAAGTTTTCGTTTTCGTGGCTTCACGAGTAATTTTGTTATTTATTGCATTTGTTCTGCATCCGGCTTCATATTATATCTTCGAGCGATTTCTGGAAATTGACTCCTGGATGTACTTTGAGGTGCATCAGTAATATATGGACCAATCCGTGTAGCCGAGATCGCGAAGACAGTCGTGTCGTGGCGATCTCAGCTCGAAGGATCGCGGGTTCGAAACCCGCCTCGGGCATGTATAGATTTGTGATCGTTCTTCCATTCTTCACCATATCCTATCACTTCATTAAAGACTTACTAATAAACCCAACTCAAGCAGGACGCCCTTGCCGTTAACGAGATGTCAAACAAATGCTATATGGTTTTAATATTTCATCCGGAACAGATCACCCTCCGATTCCCGCCTTCGCTTCTTGTGCTGATGCAACTGCCAACATCACTCTAACCACCGCCCTCTTCCCCGTTCCCACAGTCTGCACCACCAGCCGCGCTTCACGTGCAATTGGCTTCGTTCGTGGACTTTCTCACTATTGCACCATGCGCTGTTAATTGCTTTGTCGGTTACCAAGTTCGCGCCGGCTTCACACTATCTCCGAGCGACCGTCTCCATCGCTTGCACTTCCACTTCAGCGGCCGTCCCCTCATATTCCCCTCATACCTTCCCCTTCACCTCCCCTCCCTCCACCTCCATCGAAGGCGACCCCCCCCCTCCGCAGTAGGCCCACGCGTGGCTCCTGGCGGGATCCGGTGAGGCGGAAACAGAGTCTAGGAAGGGAAGGCTTTTTGGTTTTCATTCCTTGGTTTACAAGCTACTGGGCCTCTTCTTTGCCCATTGCTTTATGTAGATACTAAATGGTGAAAACTATTTGCTCGATAAATAATAACTATCTTCAGGCAAATCTGTGAAAGTATAAATTACTGAATATGTCTTTCTATAATTATAATGCATCTATGAAATATCAACCTACAGCGTGTCCTGGTAAAATAAACTAAACTCTGCTTTCAAAGAAAGAGAAATATGTACAAATAGAAACCTGTTTATATAACGAACTACAAAAAAAAGAAACTTCAAACTACAAAACAAAACAAAAATTATCTTCCTTTTTATCTTATTTTACGTATTGAATATTTCCCGTTCCTTCAGAATCATGGCTATCGTTTTGTACGAAAACATGGAGCAACGTACATGATTATGCTTTGTTAAATATTATTTTAATTCATTAACATGATAGTGTGTCATTCATTTTAAGGAAAGTAGATACTTTGAAAACAGATTATAATATTTGTTTGATCCCTGTATGAACCATAATTATCTCTTTAGAATTTAGTGGCCTGAATTATTCATTATAAAACTATTCAGAGAATATTAATGGTATATTAAACAGCCACTCCAGTTCACAATTTTGTATTACAATGAAAATTTGTTGACCGCAAAAATTGAAAGGTTTCCCAGTTAGTTTCTCTACCGTCAGCCCATCAATAAGATCATCTGCATCGTTCTTAACATTATTGTCTGCGGAGTTATCTGTGACAAAATGAGCATCATACATGCCAAAGTAGTGACCTCTTTTAGATATTTATTTCTTTAACTCATTATGCTTTTTCAGGTTTCTTGGATATACGACTGTACGAATATATCACGGACGCGCTTTCATCAGTACATCGTAGAAAATCAGAAAGGTAATCTAAAGTTTTCTCAAAAATTCATGCCGGAGAAAAAAAATTGAGATTCTTCTCTGTGCAGACTGTACTGCAACGTGTACAGTCATCTGAATCGGAGTAATTACTTTGAGGAAGAAGTTTCCCTTCTAGTTCACCGGATCTTTCTCAATCGTAAACGAAACGAAACTCCTTCGGATATCGGAATCTCTCCTCCTTACCCCCTCCCTTCCCGCGCCAACTTTCACAAATCGATGCGTTCGAATGCTATCGAGAAGCAATAAGTCAAAAACATTTTGTCAGTCTTTTCTGCGCTGCATGAGTTTTCGGCCTCGTCGCCCGGGAATCGCGGAGTCGTATTGGCCAAATATCAGGGTGTCAGCGACCGGAGGCGTCGAAAAACTGCTTAGGAGGACGTCCGCTGCCGCCGCCGCCACCATTACCTGTGTCACGAGGGGAAGCGAGTCGCGAAAAAGTTGCCGTCGAGAAGGCGAAGATGCTGAGCATGCCAATAAAGCACGAGCTGCCTCGGAAGATACTTGGAGAAGGCGGAGCAAACGGAGGACGGGGAACTGGAAGGAGGCAAGATGAAGATGGAGATGTAGCAGCAGCAGGAAGGAATTGGAAGTCAAACTGAGAAAAATGAGATGGAGGAGGCGAAGAAGCTGGGCTATTAGAGGAGGAGAATTAAAAAAGGAGGGATGTAGAGAAGACGATCATATGAAAGTGGAGAAGGCACAGAAAGTAACAGAACGTACAACAGAAAACTAGGGAGAAATTGCATATTTACATACGAAAAATGAGGAGACCGAGAAGATGATTTAGTATCCATCCAATAATTACAGAAGGGAAAATAATTGAAGACCTTC